CAAAACGAAAGAAAACCAGGCCCATTTCATAAGCATGTGTGCTGCTTGGAAACTTTAATTTCCTCTGAGGTTATATCCTTTCTCAGAAAACAACAGTTGCATGATGAGTTGCTTGTGTATTTCTAAGAAATCTTTCAATTTTACAGATAATTCTGTTTTGTGCCTTCACCTATTATGTTGTCACATTTTTTGCCATTCTTGACCAATGCAATATTTACTGATAGTTGTAAGATTTAGAATTGAAGAGCAGTAACACCTGGTTTTCCTATACTTTGTCTTATAATATTTACTGTGTTCACAGGCGATTTCCCCCATATTCACAGAATCATACAATCGTGGGACTGGAAGGGACTTTGGAGATCTTTTAGTCCAACCCTCTGGCCAAGACAGGAGTCTTTACTCCATCCCAGATAAATGGTTGTCCAATCTTTTCTTGAAAACCTGTAATGGGCACCCACCACTCCTGGTAGACAAGCTGTTCTATGAGTTAATTGCTCTGTCAGGAAATGCTTCCTTAGTTCCATGCTGGATCTTTCTTTTTTGAGCTTCCATGTCCTTCAGATGCTTTGGAAAATACGTCAACCTCCTCATCTCTGTGACTGGCCGTCAGGTATTGGAAGACGACTATCATGTGGCCCCTAATTTGTTAGGGTAGACATACCTAGTTCCTTTAACCATTCATCGTATGGTTTAGTTCCAGACCTCTAATCATCTTTGTTGCTCTTCTCTGCATTCTTTCTAGGGCCATAGCATCATTTTTTGTATCATACATTATTCCCCATAAGGCAGTGATGGCGAACCTTTTAGAGACGAAGTGCCCAAAAACCAGTCCGCCCCCTAGCCCACCCGCCTGCTCCATCCCGCCCACTCGCAGGGCCACCCACCGCCTCTATGGCCAGCCGCAGATTGCCATGGCAGCCACACACTTCATCCGTACCCAGTAGCATCATCTGTGCGCATCGGGGCGCGAAGGCAGTCTTGTCCCTGCTGCCTGGCTGCCATGTTCTTAGCTGCACCGCTCGGGGGCGACTCTACAGGGGGACTGCTGGTGATGGGGCCGCAGCGGAGGCGGGGCTGGGGTAAAGGTGCGTGCCCACAGAGAGGGCTCTGAGTGCCGCCTCTGGCACGCGTGCCATAGGTTCGCCACCACTGCTATAAGGAATTGGAGAAAGCCTCTTCCTTGAGGCCTTGCAGAGGTGTGGCTTATAATTGTGCGATTGTGAGATTTATGAAACCTTCCTCTTCATCAATTCCTCGTGCTCCTGTTATTCAAAATGTAAGATTATGAACATGAAATGTAATTGGTGCACATCAAGGTTCAATCTGACTCAAATCAAAGAAAAAGGAAAGGGGGGATTGTCTAAAATTATATAGTCATCTTTCATTGGCCAAAACCAGCACTAAGGTTAGCCAGAAATCCAAAAAGGATCAATAATTCCACTTGGAAGCAAGACTGATTCAGCAAATAAATCTATGGGCAACAGCTTTGGAAAGCCACCTAATATAACTAAGTTGCCTGTTTGCAACATCTTAAAAGGGGCGTTGGTCTTACCTGAACGCCTTTTCTCAGCATGACGATGGAGCATCCACTCATGGGTTAATTTCGTCTTCTGCCCGAAGACTAGTTGACCAATTTGCTCCGCCTCTCCTCCTGGGACCTCCCTTTCCCAGTCTCGACGAGGCGACAGCTGTTTGTTTTCCTGTGTTGACTCCATCCTCTCCCCTCACAGGACCTGACTGGCCTCAAGGGCGGGAGTGGATGCTCCATCGTCATGCTGAGAAAAGGCGTTCAGGTAAGACCAACGCCCCTTCTCCATCATGACGGATGGAGCATCCACTCATGGGACGTACCAAAGCCTCACTGTCCTTGTGGGTGGGATGCCGTCTGGGCCTGTGTCCC